ATTGTATTGTATAAGTGTTATTTATAAGTATTGACCTCAGTCATAACTGATGTCCTCACAACGTGACTCAGAAACCTTCAGTGACACACTTCCACCAGCCCAGTGATCTCAGACATGAGCAATGACACGTTCAGGCAGCCCATCACGTAGAAAGGCTGCCATCGCGGCGTCTCTGGACAGCCTCTGATTATTGTCGGAGAGTAAACATTTGTTTGGCTGCTCTGTACAAGCGCAGATAGGCTTCAGATTAATTGACAGGGTCCCCTAAATCGTGTCTATGACGCCTGATCCATCGCGTCAAGACCATTAAGAAGGAGGCTGGGTGAGATGATAGCGTATCGATCAGGTCATGATGGATGGGCCCTGAGAATATATAAGTGAAGTTCTCGGTCGAGTAAAGGGAGATGAGTTCAGATCTGGTCATCGACACAGAGACACCATGCTTTCTGCAGCTCTGTTCTACCTTGTAGCTGTGATTTGTTCAGCAACATGGACACACGCTCTCCCCCTTTACCCTGAGTCCAGCCTGGAGCCACAGACAGGTAAGACACTTTTAAAGCTGTTTTCTTCTTTTCAGGTTATATTTCTCCTGCTGATTTCTTCTTGCCATTTTTTAAATCTCTTGACCTCTCTTGTCACCCAACACTTGGACAGTCACATTGTAACTTATCAATGAGATGTGTGATTAAAAAAAACAGAAAAATGAATGAGAAATATGTTTCATCTGAACAGATTTCATTCAGAAACTAGTTTCAGAAGTGGAGGACGGCACCAATGCTGCAGAAGGCGAACAGAGAGATGTGAATAATATTTATCCCCTACTGGTGCATCACAATGGAGGGAGGGACTCGTGGAATAAAGGTTAGAAAAAAAACATAAATTTGCATGTAAACAGGAGCATTACGAAGCAAAAAAAATCATCACATTTTGTGGTGAAAGCAGATTGTACAACTCTAAATTTTATAACTCGTTTCAGGGGTGAAAGATTCAGCACAACAGGATAAGTTTGCAAACATGGTGAGTTTGATTATCTGCATATTTGTACACTAATAAGGCATAGACGGAGAAGTGAAAGATGCTGAGATGTTGAAACAATGAGAAGCTCAAAGTATCATAAAATAAAAAGAGTATTGTGAATGTGTGGGTAACAGCGTCCCTGTGAACGCAGGGTCTGCATCTAATTCATCATTTTGCTTATTTTTAGGTCGAGGAGCTGAAAGAAGTTGTACTGAAATTGGCTGCCGCTGAGAAGCTTCGGTCGCAGGGTTTCCTCAGATCAGAGCAGAGCCTCCCGAAAACGAACAAAAGAGGTGCGTGACTCACAC